TGCTCGGCCATCATGGGGACACGGGGGGACACCCTGACACCGGCTCTGTCACCATGGCGACACGGGGATGACATGGGGTCAGGCGGGGTCACTCGGGGTGACACCCTGCTCGGCCATCGCAGGGACATGGGGGTGACACCCTGACACCCTGCTCAGCCACTGTGGGGTCACTCAGGGTCACTTGGGGTGACACCCTGCTCGGCCATCGTGGGGACACAGCAGGTGACACCACAGCACAAGGACACGGGGGTGACACCCTGACACCGGCTCGGTCACTGTGGGGTCACTCAGGGTCACTCGGGGTGACATCCTGCTCAGCCACCATGGGGTCAGGTGGGGTCACTCAGGGTGACACCCTGCTCGGCCACTGCGGGGTAACTCAGGGTCACTCGGGGTGACACCCTGCTCGGCCATCGTGGGGACACGGCAGGTGACACCACAGCACAAGGACACGGGGGTGACACCCTGACACCCTGCTCGGCCATCATGGGGACATGGGGGGGAACACCATGACACCCTGCTCAGCCACCATGGGGTCAGGTGGGGTCACTCGGGGTGACACCCTGCTCGGCCACTGTGGGGTAACTCAGGGTCACTCGGGGTGACACCCTGCTTGGCCATCGAGGGGACAGGGGGTGACACCCTGACACCAGCTCGGTCACCGTGGGGACACGGGGGGACACCCTGACACTGGCTCGGTCACCACGGGGACACAGGGGGGATACCACAGCGCGGGGACACGGGGGTGACACCCTAACACTCTGCTTGGTCACCATGGGGACATGGGGTGACACCCTGACACCGGCTCTGTCACCATGGCGACACGGGGATGACATGGGGTCAGGCGGGGTCACTCGGGGTGACACCCTGCTTGGCCATCACGGGGACATGGGGGTGACACCCTGACACCCTGCTCAGCCACTGCGGGGTCACTCAGGGTCACTCGGGGTGACACCCTGCTCGGCCACCGTGGGGACACGGGGTTGACACCACAGCGCAGGGACACGGGGGTGACACCCTGACACCCTGCTCGGCCATCATGGGGACATGGGGGGGACACCATGACACCCTGCTCAGCCACCATGGGGTCAGGTGGGGTCACTCAGGGTGACACCCTGCTCGGTCACTGCGGGGTAACTCAGGGTCACTCGGGGTGACACCCTGCTCGGCCATCGTGGGGACACGGAGTGACACCAACACCCTGCTCAGCCACCATGGGGAGACACAGGGGGTGACACCCTGACACCCTGCTCGGCCACCATGGGGTGACACCCTGACACCAGCTCGGTCACTGTGGGGACACGGGGGGACACCCTGACACCGGCTCAGTCACCACAGGGACATAGGGTGACACCCTGCTCAGCCACCGCGGGGACACGGGGGTGACACCACAGCGCAGGGACATGGGGTGACACCCTGACACCCTGGT